CTTCACATAACCCTCGGGTTGCTGCATATAGATGTCTTCATCCAAGTTTCCGTTAATGAAAGCAGTCTTGACATCCATTTGCCAAACCTCAGTCCATGTGACTTGCTATGGATAAGAGAATCCGGATCGACTTAAGCATGGCTACTGGTGAGAAGGTCTCATCATAATCGATTCCCTCTTTCGGAGTGAAACCCTTCGCAACCAGCCGTGCTTTGAAGGAAATAACCTTCCCGTCAGATCCTCTCTTACGCCTATAGACCCATTTGCACCCAATGGCTTTCTTGCCTTCAGGAAGGTCCCTAAGGTCGTAGACATCCATAGCATCTATAGATTCAATCTAAGAATCCATAGATTTCTTCCAAGATTCTGCATCTACGTCTTGGATTGCCTCATTGTACGTCCAGGGATCACTATCATGCTCGTCACTTGGGATGAAGTCTGAGGACTCTCCCACAAACATGAAACGATCGGGCTGACGAACAACCCTCCCACTACGACGAGGCAATTCAGGTGTAAATACATCAGAGTCAACACGTTGTGCAGTCTCTTGTGTTATATCCTCTTGCACACTCGGTATGCCATTGTCTGCCCTCAACTCTTTGAGAATAATCTCACTCTTGGACTTATGCTCACTCATATAGTCATCCTCTAAAAATCGGGCATTGGTGCTAACCACTACCCTCTGATCTTTAGGACTATAAAAGTAACCACCTCTCGTTCCCTTTGGGTAACCTACAAATAGCCGTACTTCTGTTCTAGGTGCAACCTTATCAGCTTCCTTATCCAACACATGTGCTGGGCAGCCCCAAATCCGAATGTGGTTTAAACTGGGCTTGCGCCCGGACCACAATTCTATTGGAGTTTTCGGAACTGATTTAGAAGGTACAAAGTTAAGAAGGTACGCCGCCGTTTCCAAGGCATATCCCCAAAACGAGGTAGGTAATGAAGCACAGCTCATCATCGATCTCACCATTTCCAACAGAGTCCTATTCCTCCTCTCTGCTACGCCATTTTGTTGGGGAGTACCAGGCGCAGTCAGCTGGGATGTAATCCCATTCTCTAATAAGTATTGCCTAATTTCATTGCTAAGATATTCGCCACCACGATCAGATCGCAGTGACTTGATACTTTTCC